AGCTAAAGGTGACATAGATATTTTATTATGGTATAGTATTTAAATGTATGCCTAAGAAACACATAATATTGGCCCCTTAAGAGATTAGTTCAAATTTTGATTCAAGTGAGTGCCTTTCTTTGGTAATACGCCAAGGAGATCTTCTCAGAATTAAGTAAAAGACAGAAATCAGAGGACTGACTGAACTTTGTGATACAAAGGGAGAGTGATATTATGTACTGATAAATCATGGCTTTCTGCTCAATTCCCTATTTTGTTTTTTCAAACTGTATAACGAAGGAAAATGCAGAAATCAATTAACTTTATAATTTTTAAGAAGTGAAATGATCTTTTTCTTGTAACAAACACTTTAAGTCCTAACCATTAAATTCCAAATTCATTTCTTTGGTGGACTAACTGTAGAGTTAAAAGAAGAATCAGAACGAAGGCCTTTGTCACGATGCTCACCCCATACCACATTCATCACAACAGGACAGCAGATCTTCAGCGGAAATCTCCAGAGAGACTTTGCCTCCGCTTTGGATACACAACCTGTCAGATATGGCTTCAGCTGCCCCGAAGGCCTGTGGGAAATCAGGATAAATATCAGCGGTAACCGCCCTCGCAGAGTGATGCTTCTATCACTTTATAGTAGCCGTCTTACCCAGCAGGATCCACAGTTTCCCTGATCCCTGATCTGTTGGATCGTGGGACAGTTGGGCCACTGCTGCCGCGCGTCAAAGCTGTCAGGAAGTTTTAGGCCTTCAACGTCATGAACCCTGAAAAAAAAAAGGACAGTTAATGATTAACGACAGATAATAAACCCCTGAGTGTCACGTGCTGGGCATGTGAGAAGCACACACACACACACACACACTGTAAATACCTACACATATGGCAGCCGGGGTCCCTTCAGTATGGTCCCACACAGGCCTTTCACGTAGCTCRTGTCAACATTATGGAAGTTGGGGCCGGCCTGCAGAGCAACAGAAGCTCAATCAGTGCTTTTTGAAGCCCACCTGTGTCAGCCGGAGCTCCTTTTAAGAGTGAATAAACACACTGTCTCACCCTCCAGGTAGTGTTAGCTTTGTTAACGATGCCGATCACTTCCAAGGACAGAGGATTGAGGAGAGGACTCGCCAAGGAGCCGGAGGCCGCCGCCGTGATGCATAGGAGGAACAGAGAATGCATCCTGCACAGCTTTATTCTCTCCTGACAACAAAATCAAAGACTTTTGAGTAACATATTAAATGAATCTAAGACATTTTAAAGCTTTAATTTTAGATACATGAATGAGACTTTTTAAGGGTGTGCTAGAATGATTCAGATAAAGAAATATAACCTACAGCAGCACAAAGAAGCTGTATTTGCACTACTGCCTGTGTGAAAACATGAATTTTATTCTTTTTTGATAATTGACAACAAATCTAATTCAGCTCTAAACTGTTTTAATCACACTTTCTTGTAATTAGGTCATCATGACAAACAAACTCAACCTGTATAATCAAAGCTTAAAACATTTTCCCTAAATGATCTAAATGGTCATTAGAAATAAAAAAGCAAAATATATTTCCAAAAGGATTATCTTTTTTTTTTTTTTACCTGTGTTGCTGTTTCAGTAAACTGCTCCTCTGCAGAGACTCTTTCTCCCTCGTTGATCAGAACTWGATGCAGCTCTTTATATCAGCCTCAAGTTAAAGAGTCACATGTTTGAGTAATAAATATATAGCCATCAAATGCATCATATGACCAGAAACACTCCAAAGGTTGACAGTCATGCTTAAGAGGTGGCAAAAGGACGTTTTAGTTTTATACAATCCATAGAGTACTTTTTTTGTTAACTGGATTTAAAATGTACATCCTGAACACCTCAAATCTCTACTGCAAGGTGTATATAATGATTAGGACTGTGTATTGGCAAGAATTTGCTGATATGATACATATCATGACACAGGGGTCACGATACAATATATCACGATATACTGCGATACTGTAAGCAAGGCCATATTTTACCATTTAAAAATACTCAAGTTTGTTTTATATGTTTACTCACAATGCTATGGAAGCCCGTTTCCGCCACCCTGATAAAAAAAATAAAACTTGTATCTCATAATTATGATTTAGCTATCTCATAATAATGAGATAGCTATTTCATTATTATGCGATAGTTTCTCATAAGATAGTTTCTCATAATTATGAGATACTATCTCATTATTATGAGATACTATCTCATAATTATGAGATA